CCTTGCAAAATACACATTTTAACACATGTCCTTTGTGGAAGACAATGGGACTTGCTTCTTCTCATTTTTAACCATTTTCCTTACTTCGGGAAACAGCACTGACAGAGGCAGGGAGATTATATGGCGATTTAGATTGCTTTATTTAAGTAATTAAAAGTCTTGAATAGATCAAACTATCCAGTGTTTCACAAAAGACTAGAGATAAGAAAAATAAATGTAATTCCAAGTAGAAGAACTATTTTTATTTCTTTCCAATCCCTATACCTTTAATCCTCTCACAACTCAGATTTAAAAAAGGCTGCTCACCGATGCAAAAGACAAATATCTGGTAGCACGTTATTTCATGTGCACCTAAGCACATAAAACACAGTGGAGATAAATACCTTTTATGGCTGAGTTACCAGCTCAAACTAAGTCACATAATCTGTCAGTCATCGGCCTGTCCATCTATCGTCATCTCTCTCTCTGATCTGTTACTTCCTCCCTCTCTCTCCATCTATCTTTCTCTGATTCCTTCTCTGATTTATTCTCTACCTCCCTCCACCCCAGCCCCAGCTACTTGAGCCACAGAAAATTGTTATTGGTTATCTATTATGGATTAGCAGAAAATTGGCTGCAGCATTTTCAATTCCCTTATTAACAAATGTAGATGTAACCATCTCTCCGTTCTCACCCCAGAGCGGTTTTCCTCTCTCTTCCTCCCTCTCCAGCCCATATCTCCTCCAGCTGTTTAAACCTATGATAGCAGTGCTGATGACATCCGTATGCTTCGGTTAGTGGTTAGTGTCAAGGCAAATAATGGCAGTGTACCTGCAAGCAGTGTGTGTTGGAACTGTATGTAATAAGGCCTGTGTAATATGAATTATTGAACGCTGTTGATGCTAGCCAGGTCCTCCCTGCCTGCAGGCTATATCTCGGAGATGGCATGTTAGCACAGCCTTAGCTTCCACCAGTGCCATGCTTCACATACTCTGCACACATTCAGATGCACATGCAGCGAGAGCTATCAAGTGTTATCTGCGTTATCTCCCGTATGCATGTACCATTAAAGTAACACATAAACATACACAAACATCCTGCAGGAGAAATGAGCTATTTTTTCTTTAACCTTTATTTAACTAGGAAAAGTCCCATTGAGTTACAGTAACTCTTCTCCCAGGGAGCTATGATTTAGTTGTAAGCATTTGAAGTAAACAGCATTACATTTTCTTCCATACATACATTTAAAAAAGATGTTTAGATTTAAAAACTTTCCCAGCCAGTTCAGCAAAAGCAAGGATATAATCTTAGGAACATTTCACAAAGTTTGAAGTGCTATGAGAAGAAATGTAAAGGCAAACTGGATTGATAAACATGGGGTTTTAGTTACACACTCTCACCCACATGTTGCAATACAGATCATTAGCTCATCTAATTAAAACATTTAAAAAGCATCAATTTTGATTGGCCTGTCTGCGCTTCGAAAATGTCAACAGGACCATAACTGGTAGTTACTAATATATGATAATAAAACCTTGATAAATGGATATTTTAAATTGCTAGCAGCCACTAAGCATGACAGGTAGTTTGCTAACTGATCCCTGATATTTCAGCACGGCAGAAAAATAGATGAATGTCTCAACAGTTCAGACATAGTTGTCAAAGAAAACAAGCATTACTTAGACCTAAACAAATTCTGCTAAAGTAGACACCCAAATCTGATATTATTTCATAAATATTCTTTATCTGAGGATCAATCTGTGATGTACATTGTCTAACTAATACATACTGTAACAATATAACATTTGTAGATACATGGAGAATAATGGTAATCAATTCTTATTTTATAGTAATATTATATATTTAAAAAATCCATTGTATCACCTTTGCTAGCCTCTAAATTCAGTGTGTTCAGATGTTGAGTATGGTGCCTTGATTGAATGAATGAAAGTGGACAAAACTTATTGATGTAAACTATGCAACAGAACATTTGTCAAATAAATAATGACGGAGGATGACCCAACCCTTGGCCAGTACTCATCACTTCTTTGTCGTAATAGGTTGCCTATACAGATAATAAACATAACTAACCTGTCTGCCAAACTCAATGTTGACAGTAGCTGTCAGTTACAATGTTTAGGAACTAGCTCCATTTTTAAGGACCAGTAAGTAGGACATAGTGGCATCTAGGGGTGAAGTTTCAGATTGCAACTAGCTGAACACTGCTCATATCTATATTTGAGGAATGAAAAAGGGTTGTGAAGTGTATACACAACAATTCCCATATTCAGGTGATAATACACTAATGAAAACATAGTTATGCATAATTTATTCCATATCTGCATATATATTCTCCTAAATTTTACAAACTGGAACTTTCAAGCAATTTTTTCTACAGTATCATATGCATAGCGACAACAGTGGCTAATTAAAAACAGTTTGGAAGAGGGTAGGATTAACTAACATGGAATCATCCATTATGAACAGAATTTATTAGAAACTGTGATAACATAGTCTGTCAGCTTCGCTTAATCTTTTTACACATGCAGGTTGTTTTCTGTGTTTTCCAAATAACACTGCAGATTTCATCAAATCAGCTGGGGCAATTTCATCATATTTTAGCTGCCAAAGGGGATGCTTTCAACTCCTCTAATAAAACCAAGCCTCAGCACTTTAGTGTCCCTGTCTTTCATCCTCCTCTCTCTTTGTCTCTCTTTCTTCCTGCCTGTTGATGGCCGCCTTTGAAGGCACAGAGATAAATATGAAGAGAGAATGTGTTTTTGTTGTTTTGAAAGACAAAATGAAAAAGCGATGGCCGTTGGCTCCACTGTCAAATGTCCCAATCATCCTGTGTGTGTGTGTGCGTGTGTGTGTGTGCGTGTGTGTGTGTGTGTGTGTGTGTGTGTGTGTGTGTGTGTGCGCGTGCGTGTGCGTGTGCGTGTGTGCAAATCTGTGTAAGCAAATACCCTTTACTATACTCAGTCAAAGCAAACACACACCCTCAGACATAAAATACAAAAACACATTCAAAGGCTCATACACCTGAATACAGCAGAAAGTAAATGTTTATATGTCAGTTATGCAAAGCTGAAGGGCAAAATGTATCTACAAATACATGTGTGGTGTATTTGTTTGGATTTGGAAGTTCACATACTACATGTAGCTGCTGAATGGCAGTGATTATTTTTGAAACTATTCTGCACATAATGTTACTGTAACATGTAGTTCTAACCATATACCGCTAGTCTCAAACCCTTTAGAACTAGCACTTAGGTTAGTCAGTTTGGATATAAAATGTTTAAATAGTTTTCCTATGCATAATGTGTACACTTAATCAGTAGACCATTTTTTTTATTTGAACACAAAAAATACAGGATATTACTAAAAAGTTTATTCACATCATAAATCACATCATGCTTCTTTTTGTAACCGACGTAGCAGTACTACTTTCTTTGTTTTTGTGTTTAGTGTTGTGTGATCTGATGTGCCTTAGAGGCCTTTTTCACAGTAGACATTTTGACATGTTGTAGCAGGAAAAGAAAGGTGTAATTAATAGCATTAATAATGGTTACTTTCCTTTTTGGTGTTCGAGTTCCAGGAATCTGGTATTCTTGTTGAATGGCTTACTGGGATACTTGACTGAATCTGAGCAATTGTTGATGTTAGTAGTTCTACCTGTGCTTTTTCTGCTTTGACGAGTCAAAATGAAAAATATCGGTGGCAGTTTATTTGAAGTAGTGTTCATAAGACTGATATGACACCTGCCATGAACATGGAGTTTATAATTGTTGTCATGAAATGTCATTAAAGTGTAATTACACCCACAAATACTCCCTGCCTCCCAGAAAGTAGTAGAGTTGGGTACAGAAGATGTCTTAAAGTCTAAAAGATGATGGGAAGTCACTGGATTCCATTGTCAATTTAAGGCTCTTGCAGACCTTTAGCCCCTATTATAAAATAACTCCTGTAAGTCTCAGGCAATGAATGATAGTATGCAAAGCTGTACTTTATGTACTGCATGTAATGGATGGGGATATGAATTGGTACTTGTTTTCATTGTTCATTATAATCAGTGATAAAGGAGTAAGAGAGAGAGATTTTGAGGGACAGATAATGTGTTTACTGTATGCTTCAGGCAGCAGGCTGCATAGGCTGTGCCTTTGAAATGTTTATTTACATTAGACAGTGGCAGAAATAAAGAGGGAAAAAAATCACAGACGAAAGTGGATTCTATTTGTGTTTTCTTTAGGCTTTGTTGTTGTTTTCACTTCACACGGAAGAATAACATGAAATATGCGACACAGTATATCTACTGTGAAACACCGAGAAAAAGTTACTCTATACATGTAACAGGAAGCATGCTAATATTATTGAATATAAAGTATATACCTACTAGATATGAAGTACTTGAAGTATGTCAAGGTCTAAAAATACCACAAAATGAGATACCTAATCTGCAGTTGTTTTTGTTACATTAAACCAGGTGTAGAAGCTGTAACACTGCATGAAAACCGAGATTGTCGGCACGATAATGCCTGGCAATCCCTGCAAATCTCCATGATTGTCCGCAGTTACCAGCAGTTCACTGCGAACTTCGCCTGTGTTGATTACGTCCAGCAACGTACTGGCGGGGGGCGGGGAGCGGGCGCGCGCACCCCCCGCTAGGTGTCAATTGCTCTAATTAGTATTTCAATGTTGCGATTGTCTGGCCTGCCTGAGTGAAACTAACAACCATTGGATGAAACCACAGACAGCTCAGAAGTAAAATCACCTGTGATTGGACAGCAAATCCCTCACTCATTGGTCACCTTTGGGACATAAGGTCATTTGCCCCTCCCATTTTAATTATACTAATATAAATATTAATAATAATGTAAATATCAATAATAACATAAATATTAATTATACTAATATAATTAGAATACTAATTATAGAATTAGAATACTAATTATTATTATTGCTATTATTATTTAGTGAGAACTACACGTCACAATAGCAGTTCATTGAGATTAAGAGACATATTGAATGAAGAGCTTTATTAAAAAAAATAAAAAACAAACATTACACACACACACGCTTTGCACACATTAAAACAAATCAAATCAAATCAAATCATTGATTCAAAATCAAATGTTTTTTGGCCGCTTCAGGATCATAATAGGGTGGAGCAGGGCTTTCAGAGGGTGGCCCATGATGTAGCCTTTTGTGGTGGGTTGCACAGTATCTGGGGTCTTTCTCCAGTCTCTTCTGTAGAAGAGAACACAGGGCAGACAGTTTACGGCTCCTGAAGGATGAGGGCCGAACTAGCCACCCAGCTTCCCCATCAGCTGTGGCATCCTCCTCATCGGACATCAAGTCCACGGTGGTGCCCCTCCTGAAGTCCATCTCTTCTGGAGCTAAAACAGCCCTCCTCGCTTCCAGCAGCTGGAAACACAAGCAGTATAATTAGTGCTGTTCTATGGTGTTAACACAAGATAATATTACTATTATCAGACCTTCAGATGCTCTGTGCAATGCTTGTAAAGCTGAATGCTATCCTTAAAAAAATCGTACCCTTTTTCTTCTCTGTCTGGTCCGGGCTGCACCTTTCATGGCTGCTGCTTGGGCCGAAAGGTCTGGTTGACTATATCTGAAGTTCTTCCGGACAGTTTCATAGGAAAAAGAGGGGCAATGGGCATACATATTTAATTTAATTTAATTTTTAATTTACACCACAAACAACAACTTACGTATAAAGACTCCAGTGTCCACACCACACATGTTTGGACTTGCAGAGAGAGTTTCCACCAAATAACAAGTCACAGCCGAATTGTGGGGCGAGCTCAGTCTGTCACAACAAATAAAAAATAGCGTCAGGTCAGATACATTTACATTTACTTATACTCAGCATCGTACACAAGTTTTTTTTCTTAAAATCTTACCCTTGTTTGGGGTCATAACGCCTGTCGTTTCCCTCAGAGTTATGAAGACGCCGCACGGTTCCCTATAAAAAACAAACACATAAAAGTTCATTAATATATACAGATAGGCCTGTATCCAGGCTGAAGCAGCAGGGATAGACATTCACTTTAAAAAGAAATCTATTTACCGCAATTTTGGTATTGTGTGCCCTTCGTCTCTTAAAGTCAAGAGTGTGATGCTCTGGAGTCAGCAACTGCTTCTGCAGCACTTCTTCGAACTTGAGTTTCGCCGGGGGAAAAGTTTAGCCGCCGTCCAGACATCTTTTGAAATTTGAAATTCGCGGAGGAGAAGGAAGGAAGTAGATTCAAAGTGTTGTAAAGAGCATGCTGTGTTTGTTTATATGCTCGTCTCGGCGAGACCGCCCCTGCGGCCACGACCTCCCATGTGATTGGATAACCCCTTTGACACGATGACGTAACGCGATGACGTAAGTGACGTATTTAATGACTTGGGCTGTCTGCATATATGACTGGCTTTCAACCTGAAATAGGTACACTCATATGCTAAGTAGAGTTATTTTTGAGTTAATGTCTGCATATATGACTGGCTTTCATTCTCTTTACTAATGCATTTGAATTTTATACATGCATAGGATAATGATGTGGCTGAGGATGACAAAGAGGAGGAATATCTTGCAGAAGAGCAAAGTGAAACCCATCCTAGCATGTGTGAACCAGTATCAGAAAAAACAGAAAACTTACTGATGAAAGTTCTGGCCATGGTGATTCTGTCATGGCAGACATAAACAAAGAGCCTTGATGAACTGCAAGCAAGGGTGGAAAATGTCAAAGTACCACATGAGATTGGAAGAATTCCCTTACGGATTTCATCTGGCTTTACAGGTTTCACAGCAGATTAATGGAAAAACTGGACAACCACCTTGTTTTGTCTGAAGGGGCTTATCAACAAAGGACACTATGACATGTGGTTTGAATTTGTGCAGGCCTGTATCATACTCTGTTCCAGAGTTATATCCATCCAAAGACTGGAAGTAGCTGATAGACACTTACAGACATTTCTGGCAAAATTGGTTGAACTGTTTGGCCCATTGCACTGCACCCCTAACATGCATCTAAATCTTCATTTAAAGGAGTGTATTTTGGACTATGGACCAGTTTATTCTTTTTGGTGTTTTTCATTTGAGCGTTTCAATGGATTATTGAGAAAGTTCAATAACAACAATAGGTCAATTGAAGTCCAGATTATGAGGAAATTTCAACAGAGTCAGCAGCTTAGCATGCCATGGACATGTGGATATGGAGCTGAATTTGCTAGTATTTTGGGGGGTCAAATGGTCGGCACTTTTTCATGTGATGACATAACTGATGTGCTTTATGTGAAGCACAATGTTTTGGTGTCAGCAGAAAGACTTCTCTTGGAAAACTGTACTGTTGTGCCACTTTCTCCATTCCACCAGATTATCTTGGATGAACATGACAGACATGCAATGTTGACAATGTATCATCAGATGTACCCTGATAACTATATTAAGGTTGACCGTTTTGGCATTACATGTAAAAGGGTAACATACCTGAATGTAACTTACTCCATAGAAGGTTCTAGAGCAGAAAGATCAGCATATGTATATGCTAAGTGGTGTGCGTACACTAACAGCTTTGAGGAGCCCATCATTGACCCTCTATCTGAACCAAGACCAGCTGTTATAAAGCAGTTTTTAGTTGTTAATGTCATGTCCAAAGCTACTGCATTTAAAACATGTCCTCGCTAAAGTTTCTTGGCTTCATCCCCATCCGGACAGACATTTTTATGGAAAGCCAGTAGAAGTTTGGATTTTGCAGGGAACAGACACATCACACCCAGCATTGTTTCTCCCTGTTGAACGCATTGCTGGAAGATGTGCTGTAAACACGTCCACTGTGCAGTTAAGCAGTACTAGAGAAAAGGTGACAGTAGTCATACCACTCTGCACGCTGGCTGAAATTTAGACCTTCTCAGATGTGAAATGTTTTGGAGGCTGTTGATATAGATATTGTTATACTATATAAAACATGTACACTGTTTGTAACTGTCAGGCACCATTAAAGATTTTTTTTAAAAGTTATTTTTATGTTTTCTTATCATTCATAGTAAACAATGAACAGGTGAATACGGTGTGGTGGTACAGTCCAGTTTCCAAACACATAATAAAAGTAAAGAAAAGAGAAAGACATAATGCCTCTTCAAAATGTATGCTGAATTTACTTCTACAAGGAAACAAAATAATTACTAAACTTATGGTGCTTTCCGTTTGTCTCGTGAACTCGGAGCCCGAGTTGTTCTGCCGCGAGAATGTGACGTCATTGCCTGGCTTGTACCACTTATAGCGTTCCAGTTTGTCTTTGGGCATTACGTGTCGGAAAGAAGTGCAGCAGCTGTCTTGTTATTGCTTGTGGCTTATCTAAACAAGCTCAATGTGAAATAATAATATGTTTTTCTACAGAAACAGTAACATTTTAAGTAATTCCGTTAATGCAAGTCTTACATTTCAATAATATTTTGCCATTTTCGCCTATTTCAATATCAACAAGTGCTGTGGCGTTTGTCTCGAGCCACCAGGGGCAGTGGCAGGCTAGTGTTATTGTTAGCTACATTAGCCTATTTAGCAAACCAGCTCGAAAACAAAACTTTACATTGTATTGCAAGCACAGCAACACCATGCAATGCATAAATTGGTGACCGGACTAAAGCAGCAATGTAAACAAGTGTGTAGGAGCATTTATAACGACCAACGTAGTACAAATACAAAGAAAATACATATTAAAATGGGCGCTGCCATCTTTGTTTTGCGGGTCGTACGTGCCCCCCCGTTGAGCTCGGTGTACTGTGAGGTACCCCGAGCCGGACGGCTGATATTCCGACCAAAAGGGGGTGTGTCTCAGTGAAATATTGCAAGATAGCTGCGAGATTTACATTTTCCAACTCGGGTTCCGAGTTCACGAGACAAATGGATAGCACCATTACATCTAACTCAATGACTCCCAGAGACTTTTGTATCTTTTTTGGTGGAGACATACACACTCCTAATTTGCATTTGTATAGATGACAGCATGGTCATTTACATGTGAAAACCTTACCCAGTCCTAGGAGCTGGAGGGGCGACTTTCTCACCTTATACTGTGTGTTAAGGGCAATTCCTGGCAGTTATCTGTAGCTGACTGAAACTTCCAGTTGACTGGGAATCATCAGCAATTCACAGTGGCGACAACTGCCAGGAATTCCACTTTTCATGCAGTGTAAGTAATGAGGTGGATGAATCGGACTGAACAATTGTAGTCAGGGAAATTGAATCAGCCTCCTTAACAACTGTGATTATGAAAACCCAAGGTTTACACGCTCATATGGATAATCCACAGAACTCAAGTGGTATCTGCAAGACCAGATATCACAAGTGAAAAACTATCTGTTTTTGTCATTTGTGTTAACTGATCCCTTAAAGGCAGGCCGAGGTCTAGTTTTTAACCCACTAATCTGTTTTGACAAATAACTGGATGGGTCAGTCAGAGCTGCAGAGTCCAATAACCTTGGCCCCTTACTTCCTAACAGATTGTGTCTGACAGTCATATGGGTCTGTCACCTCAGCATTCTGCTGCTCATTAACGTGACCTTTACACACACAAAAATGTGCTCTAGACACTCACCATTTAGTTTAATGAATAGACAATATTTTACTTTGCTCTAACCTTTTCCATTAAAATAATATATTCATCTATTTTTTTATGATAAAGAAATAAACTGATTAAACTGTTTTATTTCTACCTTGGAGTAAAAAGATTAATGTTTTTCCCAAATAACTGTTACAATAAAAATAATTTTGTTTTCATATTTCTGGCAGTAGGTTGTTTAAGTTGTTGCTATCAGTGTGCAAGTTTCCTGAATGGTTATCATCAGGAAAGGTCCTCTGCTGTTACTGTCCTGGCCAGCATACCTGCATCAGAAATAATTCCAAATGTGCAGCATCATAAGTATATTCACTGAATAAAAATAGATAAAACATAGTGTTTAGCCTCATTAATGCTGAGTGTAATAGCAAGGAGGGATGGAATAAATATGTACACATACAGTATAAGGACACTGTTACACAAACAGTAACTAGAAGGCTGCACTACGAAGCGAGGTAACTAGCTTATCTAGGTAACTTCAGGAGTAACTCTGGGACATCAGGTGTAACTTCCCGGTTAACTCGTACTACAAAAGTGAATACGTTTTACCTGAGGTGTGTTGTCATGGCAACTTACGCTCCATGTCCAACTACCTATGCCTGCTTCTAGGGCCAGAATGCATTTGTCATCTTCCCATTTAATTATTCTAAAAATTAAAGAGGACTTTTATGCGAATACTTTTAAATATACATAGACTAGGCCTATATACAGAACACTTTATTTCCAAGGGAATCCAGTGGATGATTGGTGCGAGTAACTGTACCCTTTTTCTAACAGTAGCATTACATTCACACAGGTAGCCCTTCAGCCGCGTTGCTTTAGGGAGTAGATTGTAATTCTCAGGCACCACGTCTGATTTCAGACATACAGTTTTAAATTAATTTAATATTTCATTCAATACATTGTACATTGTCCTCCCGGATGACTTTTCAGGCTCACTTTCTTGCTTTAATCCCTTTTAACGGGACAAGTTCTGAGATATTTTTTCAGTAATTTACCACTTTAATCTTGGAAATTTACCACAGTCATATTCAATCATATCACAAATAGAAGAAGAGACCGTAAGAGAAAAGTAGTGAACCTACAACACAAGCATTGTATTGTTACTTATGATTTTACATATTCTGATGTTATCACTGTACATTCTTCTGGGAACAAATACTGAGCACAAGCCATTATGAAAAAAACTCGTCCACTTTTTA